TTCTTAACAACCCTATCAACTTGGGTAACAACTGTGAGGGATCTATGGACGTGGACCCCAAGATCCCTCTGTTCCTCCACACTGCTGAGAATCCATCTATTAACCCTATATTCTGCATTCAAATTCAACCTTCCAAAATAAATCACTTCACACTTTTCTGGGTTGAATTCCACCTGCCACTTCTTTGCCCAGCTCTGCATCCTGTAAATGTCCCGTTGCAACATACAACAGCCCTCCACGCAGTCCACAACTCCACCAACCTTCGTGTCATCGACAAACTTACTAATCCACCCTTCCACTTCCTCATCCAAATTATTTATAAAGATCACAAAGAGCAGAGGTCCCAGAACAGATCCCTGCAGAACACCACTGGTCACTGAGCTCCAGGCTGAATACTTTCCATCTACTACCACCCTCTGTCTTCTATTGGACAGCCAGTTTTATATTCAGACAGCCAAATTTCCCTGAATCCCATGCCTCCTTACTTTCTGAATGAGCCTACCATGTGGAACCTTATCAAATGCCTCGTTAAAATCCATATACACCACATCCACTGCTCTACTTTCATCGTTGTGTTTTGTCACATCCTCAAAGAATTCAATAAGGCTTGTGAGGCATGACTGCCCCTCACAAAGCCATGCTGATTATTTCTAATCAAATTGTGCTTTTCCAAATAATCATAAATACTACAGTTTGAATCATGTTCTTAAGCGCATCGGTGGCACTCTGTTGAATCTTAGTCTGAATGTTACAGGGAATTGGGATTGCACACGGGGCGTGGGTATGATGTGAGCCACAGGCCTCTCCTGCAGGGTAAGAGTAGGTTCCCTCCTGTGGTCAGTCTTCTGACTAAAGGCATCAGAGTTTGCATCAGCTTTTCCTGACCTGAACCAGATCTGAAATCAAAACTGAGCAAATTCACCAGGTGTTCATTGGGTGTCTGATGCTCCCAGATTGGAGCAAAATTGAAAAATAGCTGAATGGGTTGTTGTCTGTAAACACTTCAAACTCTGCAACAATCAAATGTCTCTGAACTTCTAAGAAATAGTCCACCTCTGAGCCAGCAGTCTGACTGCAGCTGGAGTCACCCTCCATATCCCTCTCATTTGGTTTGAGATGCCAACTGATATCACTACATTTTCCTGCCCTTGAACCAGCAACAACACCATCCCTGGGCCAAGGAAACTGGCACCCATTTGTAGTGTGAAAGGGAGTTGGAAACGTGGGTAAACAAGACAGGTTTCTGCACGTGGGTGCAGAAGGAGTCTCCATCTGCTGGGGTCTAACTCCCTGTGATGCTCCGTGAAGTATCACACATCATCCATCCTTTCCCAACCACTCCATCAGCATTCTTTGATTTCTTCAGTGATTCATGGGGACGCTGGCTCTGCATAGCCTTACATGAACTTCCTATAGTAACCAGTGAGACCACATAGTTCCCTCCCCACTTTAGGCTGTGCCCAATCCTCTACTGCTATCAGGGCATAATGCCATCCTTGGTAACAGTGTGACCCAGGCACAAATGCTCCAGCTGCCCTGCTCACTGCCCTCTCTCTGCCACCTGCAGATGAAACAGCAAGAAGTCATAAATGGGTAATTTTCTGGGTGGCAAGTTGTAATAAGTTGTGTGCTTAAGGATCCGTGCTGGGGTATCAACTGCTTACAATTTAAATTAATGAATTCAATGAACTTTTATGATCACTTACTTTGCTAATGACACAAAGATGGATAATAATGTAACTAGTGAGGAGGGCATTAGGGGGCTACAAAGGGATATAGATATGTTAAGTAAGTGGGCAAAGTTCTGGCAAATGGAGTATAATGTGAGAAATTATGACATTGTCCATTTCTCAGGAAGCATGTTATCTCAACGGTGAGAGATTGCAGTGCTCTGAAATGCTGAGGGATCTAGGTGAGTTAATGCAAGAATTGCAAAGGCTTATACATAGAAACATGACAGCATGAGGGGCAGCTCCTGGCTTGCGGCATCTGAAGTGCTGTGCAGCTGGGGTTATGTGGCACCCAGTGGCATGAACATTGCAAAGTCCTGGCAGCAGAAAGCACCTCCACCTCTCCTGCCACAATTCCACAAGACAGGCATCAAAGAGACCAGCTGCATATTTAATAAGCTGAAGAACAGAGGATTTTGTGAGAAATGTTGACCTTGATCATGATGGACCAGCCTCCATGAAACAAATGGAAAATTTCAGCCCTAGAAGCAGTTAAATTCACTGGCCTGTAGTTCCTGCACTTATCTTTACATCCTTCATCGAAAAGGGTGAAACATTTGTAATATTCAGTCCTCTCGTATCAGTCCTGCGCATAAGAAAGTCTGAAAGATTGTGGCCAGTGCTTCTGCAATTTTCACTTGCACATCCCTCAGTATCCTTGGAAACATCTCATCTGGTCCTGTTGCCTTATAAATTTTGAGTTGGTGGCATAGTGATAATATCACAGGACCACTAATCCAGAGGCCCAGGCTAATGCTCTAAGGACATGTGTTCAATTCCCACCATGGCATCCGGTAGAAATTCAATTTAATTTCACTTGAATAATGGCAGAGAAATGTATCCAAATGTCCTGATAACACAAAGTTGTGTGCTGTGTAGACAGTGTAGATCATAGAATCACAGAAAGTGGCCATTTGGCCCTTCGAGTACCACCAACCCTCCGAAGAGCATCCCACCCAGACCCATCCCATTGCCTTTCCACATTTAACATGGCTACCCACCTAGCCTACACACCCCTGGACACTGTGGCCAATCTGCCTAACCTGCACATCCTTGGACTGAGTGAGGAAACAGGAGCACCCAGTAGAAACTCACATAGACACAGGGGGAATGTGCAAATTCCACACAGGCCCAAAGCTGGAATCAAACCCAGGTCCCTAGTGCTGTGAGGAAGCAGTGCTAACCATTGGGCCAGTTTACTGCTAGATGGTAGCATTAAGTTACAGAGGGATTTATAGTCTAAGTGAATGGGCAAAACTGAGGCGAATGGAATTAAATGTAATCAAGTACGAGGGTGAAAAAAATGAAAGATCTGGCTACTTCTAGATGGTGTGAAGTTAAATACAGTGGATGTACAAAAACACTTGGAGGGTTCAGATGCACAGTTCTTTAAAATATCAGAAACAGATGCAGAAAATAATCAAAAGTGCTAATGGAATGCTGGCCTTTATATCTAGAGCACAGGACTACAAGGACGCAAACGTTATTCTGCAGTTATATAAACCCTGGAGGTGCATAGAGTCATACAGCGCAGAAGCAGACCCCTTGGTCCAACCCCTCCATGCCGACCAGGTTTCCCAAACTAAACTAGTACCATTTGCCTCCACATAGCCCACATCCCTCTAAACCTTTCCAATTCATGTACCTGTCCAAATGTCTTTTAAATGTTGAAATTGTACCTGTATCTATCATTTCCTCAGCAGTTATTTCCACATACGAACCACTCTCTATGTAAAAAAGCTGCCCCTCAGGTCCCTTTAATATCTTTCTCCTCTCACTTGAAATTATGCCCTCTAGTTTTGAACTCTCCTATTCCAGGGAAAAGACCTTTGCTGTTTGCCTTATCTATGCTCTTCACGATTTTATAAACCTCTATAATGTCACTCCTCAATCTCCTACACTCTAGTGAAAAAGTCCCAGCCTATCCAGCCTCTCCTTGTAACTCAAACCCTTCAGTCCCAGTAACATCCTTGTAAATCTTTTCTGCACCCTCTCCAATTTAATAATATCCTTCTTATAGCAGGGTGACCAGATCTGTACACGGTACTCCAAAAGTGGCCTAACCAACTGCCTGTACAACTGCAACATGACATTCCTACTCCTATACTCCATAGTCTGAGCAATGAAAGCATCTAGATCTAAGCACCACACCTTAGGAAGGATTTATTGGCCTTGGAGGGAGCACAACGTTGCTTTATAAGAATGATACCTGGACTTCAGGGGTTAAGTTAGGAGGAAAGATTATATTTGGCCTGTTTTCTCTAGAATTCAGAAGGTTAAGGAATGATCGATCAAAGTCTTCAAAATACTAACAGGAAAAGACTGGGTTGTTAAAGATAAACTATTTCCACTGGTAGGTGAATCTAGAATTAGGTTGCATAGTCTGAGAATTAAGGCCTGACAACAGCACATAGAACACAGAACTATACAGCACAGGAACAGGCCCTTCGGCCCTTGATGTTGTGCTGAACATAATGCTAAATGAAACTAATCCCTTCTGCCTGCCCTTAGTCCATATCTCTCCATTCTTTGCATATTCATGTGCTTATCTAAAAGTCCCTAAAACATCCCTATCATATTGGCCTCCACCACCGCCCCTGACAGTGCATTCCAGACTCCTACCATTCTGTGCAAAAAAAGTGCCCTTCATATCTCCTTTGAACCTTTCCCCTTTCACCTTAAATGCATGCTACCCTAGTATTAGGTATTTTAACTCTGGGAAAACGATTTTGACCGTTATGCTTCTTATAATTTTATAGACTTCTATGAAGTCTCCCCTCAGGCTCCGTCCTCCAGAGAAAACAACCTGAGTTTTTCTAGCCTCTCCTTATAGCTCAAACCCTCTAATCCAGGCTGGAAACATGTTAGAAAGAACATCTACACACAAAGGGTGGTCAATCTTCCTTCCAGAAATGGCAGTGGTTGCAGGATCAGTTGTTCATTTTAAATCTGAGATAGATATATATTTTGTTAAGCGAAGTTATTAAAGGGATATGGGTTAATGGCAGATGTATGGAGGATTTCAGATAAGCAGTAACTAACTTAGTGATAGTCGGCATTAATGGGGGTGATGATGAAGTAGAGCTGGGTGTTACCAGCATCCAAAGGGAAACTGATGGATGATGTTGGCAATGGTGGGGGAATGGGGAGAGAAGCCATTACAGGTTATACTCTGGCTATGACAGTCCTAACCAGCTGGCATTGCACAAAGTCCAGGAAGTGATTAAATATCTTAACCCACAAGCCAAATGTATTCTGGAGGGTACATACCGAACTTTCTTTCCTTGGTTTATGAGTATTTTGACGAGTTCAGCGATGGGGTACTGAGCCTTAGCAGCACAAAGACCATATCCTTTAAAAGGTACAAAACGTTATAATTTCATAAAATATGCTAATATAAACCTTAAACTGGTCATTATTACAGAATTTCATTTTCTTTTCCGGCTTAACTTCAAAGGTTACAATTAGAAAGATAACAATGATAAACAAACTTAAAAAATGACATTTGGGTATGTTATTTAAGAATGCGTTCATGATAGAACAATTATTTATCGCAATGAAGCTACTGCATTATTAATTCAGAATTTATTTGGTAGCCGTCTTACATTTGTAGGTAGGTGATGGCATAATGGTAATGTCAATACAGTAGAAATGTAGAACTGCAGGCTAATGTTCAAGGGATATCAGTTCATATCCCACCATGGTGGATGGTGATATCTGAATTCAAAAAGATAATGTTGCAAGCATATCATCTGCAGATGGGAAGAATGAAAGGGGTAGGAGCTTAGTGATTGTCCGTTAGGGACATATCTCTCTGGTATCCAAAACAGATGTAAGCAAGATAAAAACCGAAAGAACTGCGGATGCTATAAATCAGGAGCAAAAACAAAGTTGCTGGAAAAGCTCAGCACGTCTAGCAGCATCTGTGAAGGCAAAAACAGAAGTAATGTTTCGGGTCTGCTGACTCTTCCTCAGAACTGTTCTGAGGAAGGGTCATCTGACCCGAAACGTTAACTTTGTTTTTTCCCTTCACAGATGCTGCCAGACATGCTGAGCTTTTCCAGCAACTTTGCAGATATAAGCAAGAACTGGGCAGAGAGGGGATCCCATTGCCATGACATCTATATTGATGTATATGGTGTTATTTAACTGTCATTTAAACAGAACTCAACTGAATGGGGTTTCAAGGCCAGATTAAGAAGAATTGTGAAGTTTAACAAGATTTTGTGACGCAGTGTGACCTTAACATCTGAGGGCGGGTTACAGAGAAATACCATGATTGTAATAGCAATTTTATAAGTACTGTAGGGTTTTTCATCACTGTGTATTATCCATGATAACTGCATGTTAATTATAGGTGTTAGAAATAGTTTGTACATGTTGTATAGATTGATTGTATTACTATTCTAAACAATATATAAAAGGCAATACAAATCCAACCTGTCCATTTACCACCCATCAACAAAGTGATCGAAGAGGTCAGAACTATGAAGCAGCACTTACTTAGCAATAATCTGCTCACTGACACTCAGTTTGGGTTACACGAGGGCCATTCAGCTCCTGGCATCATTACAGCCTTGGTCCAACCTGGACAAGGGAGCTGAATTCCAGAGGTGAGGCGAGAGTGACTACCCTTGACCTCCAGGCAACACTTCACTGAGTGCGACACCAAGGAGCCCTGAGCAAAACTGCTGTCAATGGAAATCACGGTGAAAAATCTCTGTTTGCCCAAAGGAAGATCGGTGTGGCTGTTGGAGGTCAGTTATTTTGGCACCAGGGCATCTCTACAGGAGGTCTGCAGGGTAATGTTCTTTACCCAACCATCACCAGCTGCTTTACCAACGACTTTCCCTCTAAGGCCAAAAGGAGGGGAGTTCACTATAGAGAATACTAAGGGAGTTCCTGTATTTTCAGGGTGTGACAGTAAGGGAACAAAGATGTAGTTCCCGGTCAGGATGATATGTCGGTTGAAGAGGAACTTGCCAGTGGTGGTGTCCCCTTGCACTCACTGCCCTTGTCTTTCCAGATGGTATTTCTAAATGGTACACCGAACTGCCAGTGTGTGCAGGTGGTGAAAGGAGTGAACAATGAAAGTGTTTAATGGGCTGCCAATCAAGCAGGCTGCTCTATCATTTATGGTGTCAAGCTTCTTGACTGATAGTGGAAAAGGTTTGGGGAGTCAGGAGGCTCCAGCTTCTGACCTGTCCTGACCCTGCAGCTACAGTATTTATGTGGCTAGATCAGTTCAGTTTCCTGACAATGGTAATGTTCAGGACATTGGTAGAGGTGGAGGGAGGAGAGGGAATCAGTGAGGGCAATGCCAATGAATGTCAAGCACAGATAATTAGATTCTCTCTTGCTGGAGACAGTTATTGTCTGTAACTTCTGTGGCGTGAATACAACTTGCTACTTATCAGTCAAAGCCCCTGAATATTATGCAGGTGTTGCTGCATATGAAAATAAACTGCTTCAGCACCTAAGGAGTTGTGAATGGTGCTGAACATTGTACAATCATCAGCAAAATACCCTGCTTATTCCTATTCATTGTTTACTGTCTGCCAACCAGTTCTCTATCCATGTCAGTACACCATTCCCCCAATCCTATGCAATTTAAACCCAAACTTCACTATCTGAGAAGTCATGCATGGTGCTGAACATTCCCATTTCTGACCTTATGATGGCGGGAATGTCATTGATGAAGCAGCTGAAGATGGTTCTGCCTAAGGCTATATATCCTGAGGAACTCCTGCAGAGATGTCCTGCAACTGGGATGATTAACCTTTTACAAACAAACCCATCTTCCTTTGTTCTAGATATGACTCTAATCAATTGTATTATATTTTGTGTGATTACTCACTTGTTCGTTGTTAGTTCAGGAACTTGCTTAATAACTTAGGTAGAAGTATAAGACATTTAAACATTATGTTCTATAGTTTTCCAAGACTGATATGATAGGATCTTATGGAGGCAAAACAGGATTTCCAAATTTTGATTAAGCTGTGATTATTTGCAATCTTGTGCAACACAATTTTATTAGCATAATGCACAAAGGAAAACACAGCGAAAATTTGCTTTATGGCAACAGAAGGTTTGGAGACTGCAAATGATGACTAAACAGCCATCTGTTGCTTGAACTCTCATCTCAAGAGAACAGACCATATCTATGATATTTGCAAATAAATTCACAATTCATAGGATGAAGGATAGAGAACTGTATTAAACATATACTGTTATATTTGAACTCAAACACTGGATCAAAAGTGCAACAGTTGCTTTTAATATATTTAGTTGTCCACCATTCTATTCTGAAAAGAAAGGATCAGTTGTCTCTAAGTATTTTTAAAAAATCAAAGCAAATTCTTAGAAAAATGGTAACCAATAGTACACATGACAATAAAGCTTAAATCAAATTTAAAAATCAAAATCAAATCAATTAGTACATTAATAGAACTTGTCGCCAACTGCAATTCTCATGGAAAACTGGGCAATAAATATCCCTCACACTATTCCCTATGCAGTAGCTACACTGAGCTCTTAACCTCTTGGTTCTACCTGACTCCACATCCAACTCTGTGGTAAAAACCACCACAATACACTAGAGTCTGTAATGAAACTTCCTACCTTCGAAGCATGCAGTTTATTCCACTTAGCAGTTCAAGAATGTGATGCAGGATAATAAAAGAGTCTTTTACTTAATTTAATACGTTTGTAAAAGGAGACAAGAAGTCAAAACCTTTCATCTCACACTCATCAGGATTAGACTACAAGAAACAGACATCAAAAAGGGTCCCAAATTTACACAGCATGAGGACAGGGTGCTGATTGATTGGACCATCACTGGCATCAGGAACAGTTACAGTTAACATTAATTCTCAAGCAGGCAGGTGGATTCTCATTGGTCAGCATGTTGCCATTGGAAATGTAGTAGGCATTGGCAGTGTCCATGGTCCCTTCTTACATTACATTGGGGGCAATTGTACGAATTCTTTTTTGCCTACATGAAGTAGGGTTCACATGAAGTAGGGTTCAATGTATAAATGGAGATAACAAGGTGTAGAGCTGGATGAACACAGCAGGCCAGGCAGCATCAGGGGAGCAGGAAAGCTGACGTTATGGGTCTGGACCCTTCTTCAGAAAATGTACAAATAAACAGAAAATGAATAAATGGATGTAGTTTCAAACAGATGCAAATGCATCACAATGGCAGCCCGACTAATGATAATAAATGAGTTCACTGACTAACTTATAGAACAGTCAACGTTATTTAGTAAATGACTTACAACAGCTGAATAAATCTAATGGGGATGTACTTTTGTGAGGCTTAACAGCAAGGGTTGGTTGAGCACGATTGGCATGGCGCCCACTCCAAATGGTGAATGGGACATGTTGCTTGGTATGGATCTGCCAGATACTGGGCCATACAGTTACAAATCTGGCATCACACCGGCACTGAAACTCATATTATTAATTTCTGTGATAGGCAAGATATATGTATGGCTTGACGGCAGCATCCTGTTACTGAAGAAAACCATTCATAAGTTTACTGCGTAGTAGTGAAACAGCTAGTTCGACGATTCAATTATATTTGAAGCTTACCTTTCCAGGATAACCTGAGGTTGACTGGGCAGCTCTCAGAGCTAAAAGTAGTGGACACTGGCCCTTTCATGAGGTTTTGCAAAAGACAGCAAGTGATGACTTGATCAAGGTATCCATTATTACTCAGGATAGGTCTAATATACCCTATCACAGTGTCAATCTTACATAGTGAGACGATGATGGAAATTTACTAAAAGGTTAAGAAAGACGAAATGTTGAGACAAGCTTTATGTACACAAAACTTGCCACAGGCTATTAGGCATTTTAAGGCAATAATCAATAGACCAATAAGGCTTTACAACCACAGCCAACTAGTCTGCTCTTGCAAAACTTACAACGTAGTGTCCAACATTAGATGTAATTCTGCAATTGGACAACATTTGTGAAACAATCCTGTGTACATTCACAACCAATTTACGTTTTGCAGTCATGTTTGCAATGTGGGTACTTGTGTGAGCTAGAGGCTGCAAATATTAATACATAGAATACTGTTCTTTGTAGACAGAAAGAAGGTGTGCACAATCTATATCTTTTTCAACTCAACAAAATAGGTGATAGCCATTCTCTGATTCATTTCAGAGGGCAATGCCTTGGTTATTCAGAATCAACCTTTTCATTTAAAATTTGAACAAAGTTTGGCAGTTAACTGTCAGTAATCATTAACCAGTGCATTCTTAATGGCAACACCTCTACCAGTCAGAGTATGTTTGAAAATTAATTAGCATACTCCACTCACATAAATGCTGCTTTCCTTTT